AGATTCCCATACAATCGTCAAATAAATTCACGTCTGGATTCTTCACAAAATGAGCAAATAAGTACTATAAGTATAAAATGAAGATTTTAGATAATTTAGATAATCCACGTGAAATGATGAAATTTAATGATTGTACTGATTATATACCTTAGAAATTCCAGGTATCTACAGCAGGAGATTCCTCCTTTTCATCGTCGCTATTGTCATACAGTTTTGTAGATCCCTAGAGATAGATTGGCATATATCAGCTAAAAGCATTTGTTTGCAAGTGAAGTTTATGGATGGACACCATCGTATAACTTTGTGTCTTCATACTTTGTGATTTTGTTTTGCGATTTTGACCATGTTTTCCTCGATAGTTGATTGATACCCTTCTTATGTCATTGTCAAATTTGAGGATCAAAGATTGCGTGTTGTGTTCAGTGATGATTGTGTTAACTTGATGGAATTGATGTCAGTTTCATGATGGACTTGTTGTTCTTGAGCAATACTGTTGTTAAATGTGGTTGAATAAATACAATTGCTATCATGACCAGGTACATCATATGCGGAATAGTTTTGATTTCGATTAGAAATGGTTGCTGACGGTCGCATATTATGCAATCTGCTAACAAAAATAAAAGTGGCGAAAATATAATGTTTCTAATTCTCTTCTTTGCTGATATTCATTAAGCAGAGCAAACTAATGTGTTCACTTCAATGTCCAATCAAAATGCTGTTATGATTTACACAGTTGAACGGAATTTACAAATTTCAAGAGTTTAAAGTTTATATTTATCTAAGTATCAATAAAGATATTTTACTGTACAAAACTGTACAGTAATGTTTGTCTTTTTTGAGTAATTTTTAATTTTGTTGCATTAGATGAAACTAGATTCAATCTATTGTACAAGCAGCAGATCTAGCTTTGAAATTCCACAGTTTTAGTTGTACAATCTAAAGGTAATATCAAAAATTTGGATCAAATATCAACAGAAACGACTCCCAAATGGAAGAATTTAGAAGAACTATATAAAGTTGACGTTCTACAATAAAAGCAGAAAAAAAAATAAGAGTAGTGATACTGAAAAATCCGCAATTTCCCTTGGAAAGCTGTCGGTGACAATTCTATTTCATCATGTGTATCTGTATCTGGAGCAAACGACCCATGAACTTTGACCACATCAATGATCTGGCCCCAGTTTTACTAAAGGTCGTAACAAGTCCACACAAAAATGCGGGATAAAAAAACACCACATGTATGTGAACCACCTCACTCCAAAAGTATTTGACCGATCTTTTTTTAATTAACAGCAAAAGAAAGCTGAATAATTTTTATAACGACCCAACTCATTTTAATTGCAAATAATATAATTTAACTTGTGTTATTTTTGTGTCAAAAAGAGTAAATATCAGCATTATTTTTCACTGGAACGTAAATCATTATTGCGAAAGTAGTTGGTGACTGCTCACTGTTTTGATTAAATTTTATAAACCATCGATTATATTTTTTTAAACAATTAATATCAATTAACAGCTGAGTAATTTCTATGTTAAGTAGGCCTGATTTGATTTGCATTACTTGGAACGATAGCGATGTCACAGATGAAATTACTCGTCTGGTAACGAAGGACACGTGTTGTTAAAAAACGTAAACAACCGGAAATGTTAAACGCAACAAAAAAACTATCGCCTGCATTCGAGGATCAGCTCATATAAAAAATACTTCATTTTGAAATTTACAGCGATAGAAAGTTGAATAATTTTTTGATATGTAGTACTAATTTTTATGGCAAAAAATAACAAATAACTTGTGCTGTTTTTGTGTCAAAAAGTGTCAATATTAGCATTATTTTCACTGGAACGTGCTTTACGAAATGTGATTTGTTGCAATAGCCACCAACACAGCCGAAAGGCTAGACAAAGTGGCAACGATAGCCCTGTCCCTGAAATAAAAAGAAGACCTACTAAGTTATCAAAACACTTCAATCTCGGCGAGATTGTCGACATGATTTTAACGCTAGTGCGCAAGCGCGGGCTGATCGAGAGGGGCTTTAACACAAAAGCGACGTGCTATAGAATTTTGACTGTCGCCAGGCCCCTCTATATACTGTCCCTGAACAGACAGAAGAGATCGAATCTTCCGGGATCGGAGTCAGCCACTCGATATTTTATCCAACGAGGAATTAATCAGCCGCTACCGCTTTACACGGGAAATTATTCTGGAACTAGTCGACGGTGTGAACAACCACGTGTCCCCTGTAACAGGGAGGTCACACGCAATCCCTACACAACTGCAGGTATGTGTTCATAGGTAATACTAAAACCCGGCACAGTCCGGTATCGCAATGCACCACCCGAGGGGATATGGAGTTGCCACAGGCAACAGAATCAATTCTAACATAATTAATGTAATGCTAAAAAAATGGTATCAACATTTTTATATTCGACAGAGTTCATTACACTTCATTTTAGTTATATTGGGAAGATAAACATACCAACACCACAGCTAAGATCAACCACCGAAAAGAAAGTGTAGGCGAGAAAGAAAAGAAAAATATAAGTGTATTGCAATGGGGCAGCATCTATTTTATCTCTTCCATGTGCCCAAGGAACACAGACGAAAGCCCCGATTCTGCAGGGTCACTCATTAAAGGTCACTTTTACGAACATGTAGAGGGTTCGGTTTAATTTTGTTTAACGTCCTATTAACAGCTAAGGTAATTTAAGGATGTGTAACAGCAGGTATATTATTTTTTAATTCCGGGAATTAATATCATTTAGGCAAATATTTTTCCTTATTTCGCAAGTTCTTTCCTCAGCATTTTTCATACAATCTGACTCAATTGAGGAACAAATAACACCATTAAATTGACATCTTTTGACTGGTTCTTTTTGTGAGTTTTTTAATGAAATTTGTCTTTACCATTTGTCATTCATTTAATGATTTTGGCTATGAATGCCAACTATCCCATGAGAACCAAGCGACCTCGTCATTGACCCTGCTTCGTACATACTCGGGTATTTCCGTCCTAGTGGGAATGACCCTCGTGTGTTACGACCGATTATCAATATTTAGATGGAAAATTTGTATGTTTAGAAAGTTTTCAGTATCAAATTATCTATTTCTTTACAAAATTTAAGCTGATTTAATCGATGGTAATACAGTTTGTCGTCTAATCACATTCTCACGCACTCTTCGGCGCCATTTGCTTGTGACATTCATTGTTAGCTTTTTGATGACCATGTCAATCATTTCTCTTTTCGATACAAAATGAAAGGAACTGTGGAAATAAACACGCCCAGTGTATTGAATATGGTCAATATTTTTTTTTAAATCGTTGTTTCGAAAACACAATTTTCCTGCTACGTTACATCACGGACTAAGATAACTAATCTAATTCCGTGGTTACATTTCGCTCAATTATTTGATTAGGCATATTTACGGGCTCCATGGACCGGAAGAGGTCACCGGAAGTACGAAAAGTTTCTAGGCTGTAGCTGTACTATTCAGTGATGGAATCAGTTTGGTTGGATCAGATCTATTTACACGCACATGTTACCGGTAAAGATGCCTACGGCACCCGAGAGCTTCGCTCTTATAACTTTCAGCTCAGAGTTCTATTGATAAACTTTAATTACCCTATAGACATATCATACGCAATTGTATTGATACTGAGTTGTGAAATAAAATTGAATTTTTTGTTAAAATTTCAAAGTACAGACACATCTAGCGTAGGGATATCTCATAATAACATTTTTCCTAAAAGTCATTGTCGATGGCATATTGAAACGATTCCGACAATTCATATTAAATAATCGAACGTTCTATGCCAAGTAGTCAACATGTTTACTTCACTTTTCCACTTATATAGTTATGTTTACTGAAGAAACTTTTGCCATACTGGCAGTACGTTGACCGGAAATGGATCATTCAGCTTACGGAGATTTCAAAACCCACTACAAAGGACAAAAAGACTAAATTATTTTCGATCAATAAGGATTGTATGAAGGATCATACCTGAAGGTACATGTACATTGTACACTTTTGGATGTCATCGGTTTGCTGTGTTGTGAGTGTGACGTGTTTTGCGTGTGACTGCTCTGTTTTATCTGTCTCCTTTGTCAGACGTGTTATGCATCTAACTGGTCAATCGGAATAATTGAAATGATTGGCCCGTTAAAGCTTCTTTTAAAGTTAGTTTTAGTCGGACGACTTATGACCCTTCAAGATATAATACGGTCTCCATTGAGATGGACAGTAGTCTCGACTCACCTTGAGAGAAATCATCCACAGCTAGTAAATAGTAAACTATTATCTCGGTAAGTGTGTTGCGTTATTAATATATCTTCATTAATTTAATAAATAAATTATAAACGCGTCGCGTTGATTTAATTTCAATTGATTATCGGTAATGTATGGGTGTTACTATGTATGATACTATGTTGGGTGTTACTATGTATGATACTATGTTGGGTGTTACTATGTACACATGTATGAAACTATGTTGGGTGTCACTATGTATGAAACTATGTTGGGTGTTACTATGTATGAAACTATGTTGGGTGTTACTATGTATGATACTATGTTGGGTGTTACTATGTATGATATTATGTTGGGTGTTACTATGTACACATGTATGAAACTATGTTGGGTGTTACTATGTATGAAACTATGTTGGGTGTTACTATGTATGATACTATGTTGGGTGTTATTATGTATGAAACTATGTTGGGTATTACTATGTATGAAACTATGTTGGGTGTTACTATGTATGATACTATGTTTGGTGTTACTATGTATGATACTATGTTGCGTGTTACTATGTATGATACTATGTTGGGTGTTACTATGTATGATACTATGTTGGGTGTTACTATGTATGATACTATGCAAATATGTAATTATAGTTTATACATGTAGGTTTAGGATCTACATTGCTACAATAAAAATATGAAGTAAGACTTGATGTGAAACCTCTCACAAAACAAAATATGTATGACAGATTACGTTGTTTTACCATGAGCAGTTGACAGTAAGCTGCGCCCTCAGGCCCAAGGGAGGGGATGAGCCTCGTTTTGGTAGTTCCTGGCCGGGGGTAGCGGGAGAATATAACGATACAGTCCTTGCACGTACTCCTGTACTTCCTACATCTGGCCACACGCCTTAAATGGTTCACCACTGACCAGAAGTGGCAGTTGACGTAGGTGGTCAGAAAGGAAAGCAATAAGTATGAAAGTCCGATCACAGTGTCCACTACATACAGCAGCATGGTCAAGTGTTCGATGAAGACTTCACCAAGAAGTTAGATAACCAGTATTAAATAAACACCCGTGCGATTACACAACAGCACGATACGAAGTGTAACGGTACATGTATGAGTATGTGTACTGTACTCCTCAAGAGTAACGCTACACATGTGTACACTGTGAATTCTTATCGACGGGTCGATGTACAAGTATGACCAGGGATTGTAGGCTTAAAAGACTTGCTCAAGCCATATTTATTTTGTGTGTTACACGACACGGCATTGTGTGTCATTACACGTTTATTAATACTTTATTCATAAAAAATACGCTAAGTGAAAACCACCATACCTTAGCCGTATTCCTAGATCTTGAAAAAGCATATTATCTTATCTGGCACGAAGGGCTACTAAAGTCATTAAAAGAAGTAGGTATAACAGGCAACATCCTAAAGTTTATTACCCATTTTTTTGCAGGACAGGAAAATACAAGCACGGATAATTAATACCCTATCAGATGAACATACTTTAGAAAACGGAGTACCACAAGGTAGTGTAATCTCACCTACTTTATTTAATATATATATTAACAAACTAGACTCTCATCTAAAACTAAAAAACTACAATTCAATCCACGCACGAATAGGACAATTTGCTGATGACACCTGATTAAACATAACAGACAATGGTAAAATAATTCAGAGAACATTAGATACCATACAAGAATGTCGAAAGAAAAAACGGTAGCCATGTCATTTTCTAGAAGAAATAACCAACCAGATCTCTATCTAGGTAACAACAAAATACAATATTAAAACAAACGAGAAACCTAGGAATGATATTCGATCCAAAACTATCACGGGTCCCACACATTAACAGTATAAAACATAGCTGTAAAAGGACACTAAACACACTAGTATTCGTATCCGGGAACAAATTAGGATCAAATAAAAATACACTTCTCACACTCTATAAAGCTTTAATTAGGTCACAAATAGATTACGGATGCCAAATAAATAATTCAGCTTCCGATAACGCACTGAAAACCCTAAACATAATCCAACATAAAGCCTTAAGATTCCATCAATTAGTCTACATGTACTAGCAGAAAGCGGTGAATTACCACTAAAGTTAAGAAGAGATAAATTAATTCTTAAATATTGGGCTAGAACTCAAACATTAGGATCAGACTTCCCGCCCAATCATATAGTACAAGACACCAAATATAGAAATAAATTAAATGGTCATAAAAAACACAATTTAGTCACGTGACTAATGATTTAATAAAAGAACACAAATTAGAAAACATTCAAATAGTCGAAATATCACTTAACCCAACACCACCATGGTTACTAGGACAACCAAATATTAGCACAATTATTTTTAACGCGAGAGATATAAAAAAGAAAACCCAACATCAGCTAAGGCCATAGCTTTATCTATTATCGATGATAAATACAAAAACCTACCGAAATACTATACGGACGGGTCTAAAAACCCTAAGAACAATAGCGTAAGACTAGGTATTTATCCGTAAGACTAACAGATAACTGTTCTGTATAAACAAGCGAATTAATAGCCATATGTCTAGCACTTAGCGGTACTTCTCATAGACAGTCTATCTTCACTACAATCGATAGAGAGAAAAAACAGAACAAAAACGACCGAACTTAATTCAGTCAATCAGTTTGCCTCTGCCAGTCTAATAGTGTATTTTAGGAGATTTGCATGGGATAGGTTTTGTGTGGATTGTAAAAAGAATACGTTCTCTAATTGGGCAGTTAGCTTATCTCTTAAATGTAGGCCTGTGTATTACAAACTAGAATATATATGGGATATAGGGTGTAACACCCTCTAGTATAGAGGTCAGCGGTCAAACAGTTTGCCTCTGCCAGTCTGATAGTGTATATTTAGGAAATCATGGGATAGGTTTGGTGTGGCTTGTAAAAAACTTATGTACGCTAGTTGGGCAGTTAGCTTATCTCCTAAATGTAGCCCTAAGTACTACAAACTAAAATATATATGGTATATGGTGTAACACCTTCTGGTATAGAGGCCAGGGGTCAATCAGTTTGCCTCTGCCAGTCTGATAGTGTATATTTAGGAAGTTTGCATGCGATAAGTTTTGTGTGGCTTGTAAAACGATTATGTACGCTAGTTGGGCAGTTAGCTAATCTCCTAAATGTAGCCCTGGGTACTACAAACTAGAATATATATGTTATAGGGTGTAACACTCTCTAGTATAGAGGCTAGGGGTCAATCAGTTTGCCTCTGCCAGTTAAGCAGATTTGCATGGGAAAGGTTTTGTGTGGCTTGTAAAAAACTTATGTACGCTAGTTGGGCAGTCAGCTTATCTCCTAAATGTAGCCCTAAGTACTACAAACTAAAATATATATGGTATATGGTGTAACACCTTCTGGTATAGAGGCCAGGGGGCAATCAGTTTGCCTCTGCCAGTCTGATAGAGAATATTTAGGAAGTTTGCATGCGATAAGTTTTGTGTGGCTTTTAAAAAGATTATGTACGCTAGTTGGGCAGTTAGCTTATCTCTTAAATGGAGCCATGGGTACTCCAAATTAGAATATATATGGTATATGGTGTAACCCTCTCTAGTATAGAGGCCAGGGGTCAATCAGTTTGACTCTGCCAGTTAAGGAGATTTGCATGGGATAGGTTTTGTCTGGCTTGTAAAAAACTTATGTACGCTAGTTGGGCACTTCTGGTATAGAGGCCAGGGGTCAATCAGTTTGCCTCCGCCAGTCTGATAGTGTATATTTAGGAAATTTGCATGCGATAAGTTTTGTGTGGCTTTTAAAAAGATTATGTACGCTAGTTGGGCAGTTAGCTAATCTCCTAAATGTAGCCCTGGGTACTACAAACTAGAATATATATGTTATAGGGTGTAACACTCTCTAGTATAGAGGCCAGGGCCGGGGTCAATCAGTTTGCCTCTGCCAGTTAAGCAGATTTGCATGGGAAAGGTTTTGTGTGGCTTGTAAAAAACTTATGTACGCTAGTTGGGCAGTCAGCTTATCTCCTAAATGTAGCCCTAAGTACTACAAACTAAAATATATATGGTATATGGTGTAACACCTTCTGGTATAGAGGCCAGGGGTCAATCAGTTTTCCTCTGCCAGTTAAGGAGATTTGCATGGGAAAGGTTTTGTATGGCTTGTAAAAAACATATGTACGCTAATTCGGCAGTTAGCTTATCTCCTAAATGTAGCACTAAGTACTACAAACTAAAATGTATATGGTATATGGTGTAACACCCTATAGTATAGAGGTCAGGGGTCAATCAGTTTGCCTATGCCAGTCTGATAGTGTATATTTAGGAAATCATGGGATAGGTTTGGTGTGGCTTGTAAAAAACTTATGTACGGTAGTTGGGCAGTTAGCTTATCTCCTAAATGTAGCCCTAAGTACTACAAACTAAAATATATATGGTATATGGTGTAACACCTTCTGGTATAGAGGCCAGGGGTCAATCAGTTTTCCTCTGCCAGTTAAGGAGATTTGCATGGGAAAGGTTTTGTGTGGCTTGTACAAAACTTATGTACGCTAGTTGGGCAGTTAGATTATCTCCTAAATGTAGCACTAAGTACTACAACCTAAAATGTATATGGTATATGGTGTAACGCCCTCTAGTATAGAGGTCAGGGGTCAATAGATTTGGCTGTGATAGGTTTTGTGTGGCTTGTAAAAAACTTATGTACGCTAGTTGGGCACTTCTGGTATAGAGGCCAGGGGTCAATCAGTTTGCCTCTGTCAGTCTGATAGTGTAATTTAGGAGATTTGCATGGGATAGGTTTTGTCTGGCTTGTAAAAAACTTATGTACGCTAGTTGGGCACTTCTGGTATAGAGGCCAGGGGTCAATCAGTTTGACTCTGCCAGTTAAGGAGATTTGCATGGGAAAGGTTTTGTGTGGCTTGTAAAAAACTTATGTACGCTAGTTGGGCACTTCTGGTATAGAGGCCAGGGGTCAATCAGTTTTCCTCTGCCAGTTAAGGAGATTTGCATGGGAAAGGTTTTGTGTGGCTTGTACAAAACTTATGTACGCTAGTTGGGCAGTTAGCTTATCTCCTAAATGTAGCACTAAGTACTACAAACTAAAATGTATATGGTATATGGTGTAACACCCTCTAGTATAGAGGTCAGGGGTCAATCAGTTTGCCTCTGCCAGTCTGATAGTGTATATTTAGGAAATTTGCATGCGATAAGTTTTGTGTGGCTTGTAAAAAAATATGTACGCTAGTTGGGCATTTTGCTTATCTCCTAAATATAGCCCAGAGTACTACAAACTAGAATCTATATCGTATAGGGTGTAACACTCTCTAGTATAGATGCCAGGGTTCAATCAGTTTGCCTCTTCAAGTCTGATAGTGTATTTTACGAGATTTGCATTGGATAGGTTTTGTGTGGCTTGTAAAAAAATATGTACGCTAGTTGGGCAGTTAGCTTATATTTTAAATATAGTCCAGAGTACTACGAACTAGAATATATATGGTAGAGGTTGTAACACCCTCAAGTATAGAGGTTAGGGGTCAATCAGTCTGCCTCTGCCAGTCTGATAGTGTATTTTAGGAGATTTGCATGGGATAGGTTTTGTGTGGCTTGTAGAAAAATATGTACGCTAGTTGGGCTGTCAGCTTACCTCTTACATATAGCCCGGAGTACTACAAACTAGAATATATATGGTATAGGGTGTAACACCCTCTAGTATAGATGCCAGGGGTCAATCAGTTTGCCTCTTCAAGTCTGATAGTGTATTTAAGGAGATTTGCATGGGAAAGGTTTTGTATGGCTTGTAAAAAACATATGTACGCTAATTCGGCAGTTAGCTTATCTCCTAAATGTAGCCCTGGGTACTACAAACTAGAATATATATGTTATAGGGTGTAACACTCTCTAGTATAGAGGCCAGGGGTCAATCAGTTTGCCTCTGTCAGTCTGATAGTGTAATTTAGGAGATTTGCATGGGATAGGTTTTGTGTGGCTAGTAAAAACAATATGTACGCTAGTGGGGCAGTTAGCTTATCACTAAAATATAGCCCAGGGTATTACAAACTAGAATATATATGGAATAGTGTGTAACACCCTCTAGTATAGAGGTTAGGGGTCAATCAGTTTGCCTCTGCCAGTCTGATAGTGTATTTTAG